TGAGATACATATATTCATTCAAAGGACTAATTTCTCCCGACAAACATTTTTCTATACATACAAACATAAGAGATTAAACTCTAATCACGTGTTTAAAAGACATAATTGTCTATCAACTATATTATACCATTTGATTCAAATTGGAATTAATTAATATTGCAATGATGTTAAAACTCAATTTATTTAAAAATAAATGAATTTTCACTTTCATATAGCATTTCAAATTTTAACTTGCAAATCAAATTATAATTGAAATGAACTTAAGACAATATTTAAAAGAGATACAAAATCTTAAATGAAAAATAAAAGCAAACTTGTAATGATAAAGATGTGAATAGTTCTTGAAACACTACGATTCAAGTTTGAAATGAAAAAGGAGGAAATAATAAATTAATAATAAAAGTTATTAACTTATTCAGAGACATTTTACATAATATGTATTGAAAAATAAAGATAATAGAAATTAAATAATAATGAGTAATTTGCAATTAGAGAATGAGTATTTTAGAATAGTTATATATGTATAGATATTATTAGTATACTTTAATTTTAACTTTATATTTTTAATTCATAATTTAACTATATATAATACTAATTTTAAATATTTTTTAATAAATCAGATTGAATAAGTTATGGAATTTTAATTGGATCAAATTTAAATCTAAGAAATAAACCTATCAAAAATTTATAATTGAATATTCACACATAAAAACGCTATGGTTGAATAGGAAATTAATTAAACCCAAGTAGTCACAATCTTACGAACAACTTAACTTTAAATAATATTGAGAGACTGTATGAATCATGTGCATAAATTAAAAATAAATAAATAAATAATCCTTGACATTAGCCACAGATAGTTTTTCCAGCCAAGCAACTGAGACCACCGAGACAATGGCCTCATCGTACCATTGGGTAGAGTTGACGTGTTCCACTTTTTTTTTTTCGCCTTTTGCTGTGATGCGTTTTCATTAAATGGGCCATTCATTTGTTGGCCCAAGTTCGTTTGATTTATGCTGGGTGCTAAAAGTTAGAAGTTGAAACCAGATTCTGATGCAAATGAATGCTGAATGTCAAGATGCAGAAAAAAATATTATTTGAAGTATTATGATTGGACCGTCAAGGGGAATAGCAGTTTAAGAGTAGTTATGAGCAAAAAAAGTAAAAAAATCATTATAAATTTGAATAGTAGCGGTGGATGAGTGTGAATCCT